CCGCCACAATTTAATTCTTCGTATTGTTGTCTGACACTGGGCAGCTGGTACATAACTGAATAGTTGTTTAAACAATTCTTTAACAAAAAGTAAAAGCTTGGAATGGTCTATCCTTTCATTTGAGGGGGTGTCTTGAGCCACACTAGTTTCGGAGAATTCCACTCCTCATCAGTGACCTTCGACACTACCATCAATGAAATAACCGACCAAACCAAGCCTTTATAGTAGTGAGGTATTGAAAATTGAAATGGTGTATTTAAGTGTTTTACACTCACATAAAAGAAACCTACCAATATCCCTCAGCATTAGAATGAACAATGTAAGAGCATGTCTTTCTTTTCAATATCGGTACCTTTATGTATTTTTATTGCACTTTTAATTTTTATTATGTTAAGAAGAAAAAAAATAGTAGCACAATTTCCAGTCTTTTGTTACAAACAAGTCTTTATTTTACCTGTCTAATGGATGGGTACTCCAGCTAGTTAATTATATTTGTTATAAGATATTAGTATTAGGCCTATTCTATTTTTTAACAATACTTCTTTATTCAGCTACTTAGGGTTTTCTCCAGAAGACTGAAAAATAGTATTTCAACTATTGCTGACATGTTTCACTCAATATAGAATTCATAAGGCCAGCTGGGATACAACAAACATAGTAGTGTCAGAAAACTATTTATATGAACCATTTGTTGCAACAGCAATTGTTATGGTTGGAATGCCCTTTCTAAACTGGCAAATCATGATTCTAATTAATTACAGTTGTCATAAAGTATTAATATTAGCATATTATATTTCTAACACTACATTATTTATTCAGTCCCTTAGAATTTTTTCAAAAAGAAGAGTATTTCAGCCATGCTACGTTGGCCATATCCATTACTGGTGATGAGTTTTACTCAATACAGATATCATTAAGCCAGCTGGGATACAATAGACATAACAGTGACATCAGAAGGGACCAGCTGAAATATAATAATTATAGTAGTGAGTTCTGTATTGAACGAAACATGTCATTGGCAATAGATATGATGGAATAAGTATGGTTGGAATACTGTTATTCACTACTGAAAAACCCCTAAGAGACTGAATAACAATTTGCCATTAAAAACATAATAGACCTAATACTTATGTCTTTTGACAAGTAAAGTTAATTTCATTTACTTTATAGAAGAAAAACTTGCACTTGAGTAACTAGCTATCACACAGACACTGCATTCGAACAATGTTTTTATGTCTATATATATATATATATAAATATAACATACAATTTATTTATTGTACACGCCAACAATTAAGTGTAAGTACCAACAAAGTTCTAATATAACAATGTAAAATTATACCATTTGTACAAAAGGTATCATTTTAAAGTGAAAATGTCTGCGGTTATAGCTCCCAAAAGCATTGGGGATATTCCGTCTATCAGACATAATCAAAACAAC